GTACTCAGAATATGAATGACACTGTTCTAGGACATGAAAATAACCTTACATTATTGTTCTAATGTCATGTAGTGGCTGAAAAAGAAAATAAAAAATGAATGTATTTTTTGAATATATTTTAATTGTATGTTACCTCAGGAAGGAAGAAGAGCAGAGGAGAAAAACAGAGGAAAGGCAGGAGTCCCTGTGGCAGGAGATGCAGTTCAGAGAAAGCTTCCCTGGTGAGGGAATACTGAGGATCTAGAGAAAATGAAGAGGGAGATTATACTGGAATGCTGGTGGGGCAGTATCAGAGGCAGAGGGGCGGTGTGCACCAAGGCTGTTACAGAGCACTAGGTATGATGTGCCTGAGGTGCAGCAGGACCTTTTGTGAGTGAAGCAAAGGGAAAGAAAGAGAGAGCAGAAATGATCAGAAAGATACAAAGCAAAGGCCAGGTGACCTTGCTGGTCATGTTTATATGGGAAGGCTTTGGAAGGTTTACACACAAGTGTTATATAGTATGCCTTATATGCTGAAAGAATTCTAGATGATCTGTGAAGTTTTGAAACCCTGTATAATTTTTATTTCTTTGATCTGTTTTATTTCTGTCCATGTTGTTATTAGGATTTTTTAAAATTTTCTTTAAAATAAAAAATAAATATTTGGAAGTCCACTTCAAGGATGTAAACAGGAGATCCTTAAGAGGAAATAATCTAATGAAAAGGTCATACTAGCTTGGAGTAAGATGGTGGTAGTGGAAATGCAGAATTGTTTTCATTTAGAGGGCAATTGGGTAGAGCTGGCATCCTAGAAGGGGATGATTCTGATTGAGTGTGCTACATTTGAGATAGCAATTAAACCTCCAAGAAGAATCCATAATAGACAGGAGAAAATGCTAATTGAAAACATTATATTCTTCAGAGAATGAGAAGGAAATTATTCACATGTCAAATAATATGCTTTAAAAAGATCTTCATCATTGAAGTGGATTTAAAAGGTAAATTTCGTCAAATGTCCACATAACTATTTGAAACATGTAATTAATTAAAATTATATTGACATTAATTAAAAGTTGGTACCTATCAAAATTTCCTGTGGTAGGTTTATGTTTTTACTTTTATAGCTTTAGCTTACTGTATATTTGTATGTTAGCTTTTAAAACTCATTATAGAGTCCTATATAAAGTCTGCCAAGAAAGACACCTGTGAAATGTGACTTGCTAATCTATTGTGCTAAAGATTGAAGGCCCACAACTTTTCCTCTCCTTCTAGTTTTTAGACTGTATTTTTATTCGTCCACCCTGCCCATTTTTCATATAAGAGCACCCTGTCTTGTCCAAAGTAAACTGATCAAATTATATTCATTCATCTCAGATCGTAACTATGTAATGCATATCTTTTAAGTAACTTGGGTAGTCTTAAGTAATGAGTCAGTGTGTCCTAAAGTAGCCATTTTGAAGAAAGAGTCATCTTAAATACTGAAGAATGCACAGTAAAATCTGAAACCATTCCAGATGGACACTTATTGAATACAAGGGACTTTTAAAAAATTAGTGTTTCAAAAGGCACATCCTGCTACAAGCAAAGTAATCTCTTTTATGCTTAGGAAAGATCAGCTCCAGTCTGAAGAAAGTGACCAAGGGAACCCGGTGGAAGTATATGTCTCAGTCACATAACAAAGCACTTGATTCTTTTAAGCTTCATCAGGCATGATTGTGTGAGGTGATTATAAAGTTAAGGAAGAACAAATTTTGAAGATAAAATGAAGATCCATATTTACCAAATATAGGTATTAGCATCAATATTGTGTTTGAAATGTATCTTCTTTTTTTTTTTTTTTTTCAGATTGTTCTTCATGAAGATAGGGGAGAATTGGATGGACCATATCAGCTAATTCCTACTTGATGACAAAATAGAATCCAGTTATCTAAGTTATCTTACTCAGAATCATACAACCTTCAAAAAGTGGAAGTATATGGACTTACTTATGCACTTGGGTAGTTTAAACTGCAGCCATGGTATCCTAACTGCCAGGTCTACCTCAGCGAGGCACTGAGACACTCTGCCCCTTCGTATTTCTTGCAATGCATGAATTTCTTTGAAAGTTAACATGGTAGAATTGAGAAAAGTATTTTGTAATATTTTACAGCTGATTTATTTTTATTTTTCATTCATGAATAGAATCCTTTCTGTTTATAGTAGTCATGAGAAAGCCAACTAGCATAGTATTGTGTCTCCTTTTCTATTTCAATAAACCTATCATTGATATTAAGAATAATTTTAATAATAGAGTTATATATAGTTATATGCACATATGTATATATGAAACATCACAAAATATGTTTTTATAATAATGTTCTAATGTGTATATCATCTTGATTTTAACATTCTTTTCTTCTCCCTTTTTTGAGACAGGGTCTCGCTATGCAGTTCAGCCTCTCCTTGAGCTCACTTTGGAGCCCAGACTGGTCTCCAACTCACAGCAATCCCCCTGCTTCAGCCTCCCAAGTGCTGGGATTACAGGCATGCACCACCATGCTCAGCTTCATCTTGCTTTTACCAAATCTGACTGTCCATGTGGCTGGATTCTGTAATGAAGGATTCTGTATTCCCTACACATGAGAGAAGGAAGAAGTAGAATAGGAAAAGTCTTGCTGTCAAGGTTTTCAAAAGTTCTATAAAGAAATGCTCAAAGATTTTATATCACAGACTGTATAAACTAGCATTCCAATATGCATTTGGTGGAATGACTTTATCTGTTATGGGATAAAGTGTGTGCTACCAAAATCTATTTGATTCCTGACCCCAGTATCTAACAATGTGACTGTAATGATTTCTAAAATATAATTGCGAGACAATGAGATCAAGCAGGTGAGCTGAATCTAAAGTGACTGATGTCTGTAGTAAAAGAGGAGATTAGGACACAAATATATACAAAGAAGATCATAGGTAAACAGCTACAGACTATGTTAAAAAGTCATAGAATAAATCACCTCCAGTGACACATTGATCTCAAAATCCTAGCCCTTAGAATTGTGTGAGCCAGATTTACCTTGTTTAACCCACTCAAGGTATGGCATGTGGTTTGGAAGACCTAGCAAACAGTAGCATCTATTATTTTACATTTTTCAGAGTGAAAACATGTGTTTGTTCTTTTTCAAATTCTTTTTTTCTTTGTAATATTTTCGGTGTACTTTCATCAGAATTCTTTGAATAAAATTATTATTTAAATGATATTTACTGATATACATCTTCACAAACAGCCCAGAAACATTTTACTTAGTATATTATTTTCACAGACTTTTAAATACATTGAAATTCTGCTTTAGAATGTTTGATGTTTTGTTGTAACAAAGCATTTAGGATACTGCATATATCTATTAATATGCATGAATAAAGGAAGAAAGACATCATTACAGCAATGAAGTAGGTTCACCAAAAAAAAATGAGTTCCAATGATATCAAAGTAAGCATTTTGCATAAAAGTAATAATATCTACTTCCTCCCTAAGCTCTTGCATCATTCATGCTATGGCATCATTAATGGTCTGCAGGTTTTCTAATTCAGCATGTTTTTTTTCTCTCTCCTTGGTGTTTCTACTCTATACTAATTTCAAACTAAACTTTTTTCTGAAATTCTTGCTTCCTCTAACTCTACCCATTTTCCATTCCCCAGTTGCTTTTACTGAAAAAAATGCAAATGGTAACCTCTGATAAATCACCTTACTCCAAAATGATAAAACAAATAGTTTTCTACCTTCTTCATAGATTTTTTCTGGTGAGATTTAAAAATTAAAATGTATATGCACTATGATGGGAAATACAGTTGTAAACTTCTAGAAGCAGTTGGAGTAGGAAAAGATATCAATACCCATTTAAAAAGCCTCACAGTTTAATTTACTAGATTTTCTTTTTTGCTTCTTTAGATCCAAAGAAATTCAATACACATTTTCTGAAAACCAATCTCCCTAAAGAACTAATGACTTTTAATCCCATCCCTCTGTGCCACTGGGACATTTTACTGTGGCAAAATTATTATCAGTCCTTCTTTAAAGAGGAAGACAATGAGACAAACAAAATGTTTAATAATAACAGAGTTTAAACAGCTGGTAGGAGTGCAAGCAAAGATTTGCACCAAACAGTCTACATGTGGAGCTCACACATTTATCCACAAAGGTATAAGTATCATTTTAAATGAGAGAAATTGGTATGATAAAACGATTTAATCAGTTCTTATTTTACCAACATAAAAATTGAGATCTATACAATTTTACCCACCAGAAAATTGAATAGAAATATTCCTGGTAAGCTAGGCAAACCCTTTCCAGTTCATAGATAATGGAGCCCATCCGTTTTCTTTTATGCTGTGATTTAGACACATAATCTATTGCAACACCATGTTTGATATAGTTATGAGCAGTGGGCTGGGGCTGATATTCAGCATGGCTCTGAGTTGTCATTTTTGCACACAACTTCCAAATCTGAGTGTTCGGTGAAGCGGATGACAATTCTTCAAAATTTTTAGTGGAATAACCATATGCATTCAGTTCCTGGTTCCACTGTTTGCTTTTTAAATATCTTGAAATAAATAAACAAGCTACAACCAAAAACTAGGGAATTTTTAGGATTTTCAGTATTCCCTGCATATCTGAGATTATCTTAAAATATGGAGATAAAGAAAAAATATGGTACAATGCTATCTTAGAATAAGACTGTACAATGGTGTATGCAGGACAGGTACCTGACATTCAGGTAGACCTGCGCCCCTTTCATTGTTGACACTGTGTGGTTTTAAATAAAAGCCATTCTAAGATTTATCTTTTCCTCAGTAACATGTGAGGAATATGACCTAGATTTTGTGTCATGCTGTAAATTGAGATGATAAACATTAGAAAAAAATGCTTGGTTCTTATATTAGCTAAGCAATGTTAGGTGGTCTACCGGGAAATCTTGAATGTTTAGACAACAGTAAGAGAAGGCTTATTTCTGAATGCACTGGCAGAAATTCTGAGTTGCGAAGGGTTGGGCAAAAGCAGCAATTTATTCATGTCTTACAAATGCGGTCGTACAAACATCATACAGAGCTGGCACAAAAGAACAGACACCATCTTGTACACCATGCTTCCTTCCAAGTCACTTCTATTGAGCTATGACATCAGAACAAGTCGGTTACTGAGTTACACAGTTCTTCAAACATAGATACCTCCCTGTTAGGGCGGTGAGATTGACTAATCAAACAAACAGTTAATTTACAAGTTCAATACAGTGCAGGGTTTCTAACAGAATTCAAGATATTCACACTGGTATTGTAATAGATTATAAAACAGTACAATTTGCAGAAATGAAGAGATTGTGTATCTCCCTGCCTGTTTTAATTCCTTCCTTGCTTTTCTCAGCTCTTTTCATAAAACCAGTTTGAAATAGTTTTACTTCACTTTTCACACTCAAAACACTGGAAATATTAAAACTAAAAAACTATTTACAAATTACCCACTGTAATTTTAAAAGTATGTGTTGTTGGTTTTGTCATTCCACTTTAAAAAGCAGAATCATCCCTTCCAATAAACATAGCACAGCTGGTATCACCATTAACCTCTGGCTGTTATGTAGGACTCTTACAACCAACTCCTTGTAACGTTACAGAGCTCCAAAATATATCATTTCTATGGCCCGTGATACCAAGCATACGTACATAAAAAGGCCATTTGGCTTCCCCAAAGTCCACACTGAGTACAGTTGATTTGAGTTACTTTCGCAGAAATGCTGAGTGAACCAAGATGATATGAGATGACTTTGCAGTGGAATGAAGACCATGATTGGGGAGTATTCAGTTTTTAATCCCAAAGTCATCATAAAGCACAAAAAGAAGTTGATTTTCAGTCTTTGTACACATAGAATGTAATACATTTTCGTTACACTAGGCATAGTCATAAAAAGCATGTATAAGTTGTTAGGAAAATGCATTTTCATAGAATTTACAAACACTGTGATATCAAACACATTCTCAAAAACTGTTAAAGTACTGACACAAAACCTGACTTGAAATGTAAATTTTTCAGTAGACTTTATTCTTGCATATTTAATAATTCAGCTGTACCCAAGTTTTACTCACACTTCTCTAAAAACTCAATTATACTGACATCATCCTTAAGTTAACACTTTCCAAGTGATAACAGGGTACTGCTTTCCTCCAATAGGTTTTGAATGGACCTTAGCACTAGAAAACAGTACAACATATAAGTCTTCACTGTCTTATATTGAACAGCTCAAGACGCTAGCCTAGAAAAAAATAGTGAAAAACACACTTTCTTGTGCTAATTTCACAGCCTGCAGTACTGCTATATGTTGTGAACATATGTAAATTATGTTAGGCTTGCTCTTTAATGTTTAGTCTTTGTTTGTTGGTTTCAATCTGGCACTGAATAACACATCATGGGGTTTTCTTTCTTTCTTTTTTTTTCTTCTCCAAACAGTTTAGTCCTTTCTTGAGGAGCACAAGTTAGACAAAGACTTATGTGGCCATGCATATTGTAGGTACAAAAGATGGCCTTGAAATTATACTTGCACACTGTACATATTTCCTACAAGAAAACTGTGTTCCTAACTGACTTTCTAGCTACAATTTATTTCTTTATCACCTAGCTAATTCAACAACTTCACAAAGGTAAACAAGGGTTTCTTAGGCCACACTGAAACTTGTGATAGGCAGTGAAGAATACAAGGCCATGGGTTTGATGTGAGGTTATATTTTACATTTTGACTCACATGTAACCTTAGAGGGAAGAAAGTCAAATTTCAGCCACAGTGTTCTCAGCTCAGCCCTTTGAGAAAATTATTTCTCATCCTATTCACTGCCCTTTTGAAATGACCCTATATTTCTCCTGTTATGATAAAATTGTATTAAATAATTACAGAGCAAAGAAAAATGATCAGATATTTTATATTCAGACAACCATTTGCACAAGACATTATAATAAAAAACAAACTAGAGAACATTTCTTTTTATCTTTGGATTTAAAGAAAACTATTTCCCCAACCTGAAGAAAGATGGATTAATTTCCATAAGAGAAGGTATGATTTTCATCTTTAAATGTTAATCCCTTAGACTTCCAGTGACATATTCATTTCTGAAAGTATTACCAGAACTTTGGATTGTGGTACAGTGTTCATAAAAAGTTAATCTGATCCTATTTATATCACTGGCAATCTGTAATGGAAGTTGAACATCTTATGAAAATTTATCCAACTTCTCTAATAAAGGGGGAAATTATCATGATACACATTTATAGTTACTTTCTGGTCTACAAAGTCAATCCACTTCTAAACAAAAAATGGTAGCTTGCTCTGTCACAAGCTTACAATCACATTTAAGAAATAAAAATCCTCCTTGCCTAGTAAAAATCCTTAAATTCCAACTCATGGCTGGGTTTCTAACCATCACAGAGCATGTGCCACTTGGCAATCTGTCTCCTGGGGAAGTCACAAATCTCCTTCCAGTGTTCCCCAGCGGTTCCTTCTGCTGATGCACCCAGCACCAACCGCCCAATTATCTCATTTCGGGACCCTCTTTCAGAATCCAAAACCAGAAATTCAACACTTATATCTTCAAGACCCTCACAAGGAATATCAAAGACAAATAGTTCATTGAATACTGCATTGGGGGTGCACTTCTTCACGTGAGTCTTCTTTTTGGAGATTCTCTTTTTGGCGTGGTACAGGTTCACTTTGACATAGGGATCTGTAATGGTAGGTAAGAGTCGTTACAATAGCAATGCCTGGGGGGCTGGGGGTTTAGCTCAGCAGCAAAAGCGCCTGCCTGGCAAGCGCAAGGTCGTGAGTTCGGTTCCCGGTACCGGAGAAAAACCAAAAAACAATAGCAATGCCTGGTTGTAGGTTGTAGAAGTGTACTTAAGATAACCATGCTCTTTAAGATTATGATATGTCAGTACAAATAGTAACAGTGGGAACAAGTGAGAAAAAATGGTAAGTACGGGTAAAGTTTGGCTCTTTTATTAACAGAACTGAGAATAAGAAAGAACAGATAACAGGAGAGAAAGCAGTTCTAAATCAGAGGTTAAGGGAGAAATTGCAATGGTAGAAAAAGGATATAGTAAAAATGATAAGAATAAAATACTGCATGAAAATTCTCTAGTTTCTAGTAAATTAGAATGTAAGATTTGGGGTAGGTCTATGTTTGAATGCTGGCTGTTTTTGTTTCCAGTATGACATTTTATGTGTCATTTTTAGTGTGTAAATTTAATGTTCATGCTTATTATCACATATTTAATTATTTTACTATGTCCTTCTTATTGCAGCATATGCTTCCAACTTCATCATCAAATAATAAACATACTAAGAGGTGAGTTTTCAGACGAAGCATATATTTCTAGTTTTCATCATGAACAAGTAAGTATAACTATGTTCGATTTGTACAGAGTTTAAAAAATGCATGGAAAGATACTATGTTGTGAAATAAAAGGTGTAGGATTTCAACCTAGGATCCATAAAGCATGTTCTTTCTCAAAGAACATGCAAAGAATTTGATGTCTTGTGAAGTTAGTTACAAAATTGAAAACTAATTCTTAAAATATTTCCATAAAATATTAGAGAAAAATAGTAAAAATAATAGAAGAATAAGTGTATGTGGGGTTTTTAAAAAACATTAAAATTTAAAAACTCTTCTATGACTTAATTTTCTTTTCTCCTAGGTGCTTTTGCCAGTGGTCTTTCAGTTATGCACGTATCACTCTCTTTTTCCACCTATTCAGTCAGCCATTTATCACATAATGGCTTTGTCTTAGCTCTTGGGACTAAGTAGATTTCACATTACTGCTCATAGCATTGGCTCACATTACTATTTTGAAAAGTGAAAGAGAAATAATCTCGTCACGTGTGATTGTACGTAGAAGTAAAACAAAAGTAGAGGCCACTTAGTTGTTGGCTATTTTGATGAACACATTAACCACTTAAATATTTCATGTAAGTATTTGATGAACACACTAACCACTTAAATATTTCATGTAAGTATTCCAAAAGCATTCTTACCTGAAAGCCCAGACACATCGGATTTAGGCAGATGCCTCGCTTTTAGGACGACCACAGTGAGGGTATTTGTAGTGGACTGATAGCACAGAGAGATCAACAACTCCCCACGTCCTGAGGACTTCTAAACAAAGAGAAAGGCAGTATCATTATTTTATCAGCATTATTATTTCTAGTCTTGAAGTTTGTTCTTTCAGCAAAAGTTTTATGATATTTTTGCTATCTATGTATTTTTTTTTTTTGATATGGTAAGTAATCTGAGTAAAAGCTGTTCTGCAAGGCCTGTATGCCTAAAACCACTTCTTTTTGCCATCTTGTGGTGTTGTTAGGTACTGCAGAATTTAAAATTTGAAGTGAATTGGCCACACCCATTACTTACCAATGTTTTTTTCCACACAAGGATTATTTTTGTTTTTCACTTTGATGACATCACTACTCTTTGAAACTATGAATAATAAAAAACTTAATACTTTGAATGGGTGTGTATAGGATCGAATGCCTCATTTTAAATATGATTTGATTTCAAATCCTTTAGCACTGACAACAGCCGAATTTGAATTCATGGAAAATTAGCTTTACTCTGACCTCTACACTACTCCTGGCTCAGAGATATAATGAAATAAAAGTTATTTTTCTCTTGATTGCTTTCATGTCTCTACTCTCAGGAAAAAGTTGATTTTAAATTCTGGACAGAACTAGGAATTTTTAATATATTGATTTTGGACAATATCATAACGTATCCTTTGCATGATACATACATTTCATTTATACTTAAAGACATTACATAAGATGAACAAGAGCTCTAAATGCAAACCTTAATTGAAAGCAGTGTACGTTAAAATTTAGAACTTGAACTGATGACAGGCAGAACTCTTAAAACTTCAGTATATGTACACAAACGCTGACACAGACTAGCTATATGAATTAATACTTCAAGGGCAGAACAGTAGGAGATAGTTATTTACTTCCTCTAATCATATGGCTGTCTCAAAGAAGCTACATAATGTCTCCGGAACTTGACTTTCATTAATTTTACCATTTAAAATAAAAGGAGATGGTCAACTAAAGGTCTAATCCTTAAAGTAACATACTTTTTAAAAGAAACATAAATTAGTATGTTTATTGTGTTCAGTGAACTATAAAGTTTAAACACAAGTTATTCTGAAATACCAGTATTAAAATCAAGTAAGTTCTGTATTGAAAGTGCAAATAAGACTAAATAGTTTAATTAATGTTATCATTTTCTAATAATCTCACAGTACCAAGTATTATAAATACAAAAGAAAGTAACTCACTTCCTCTTATGTAACACAGAAAGAGGCACTTAGAATTCAATATGATGTGGTGTTACCTCCTCAAAAAACAATTTCATATAAAGGCAATACAATTTCCAGATGCTTGAAAGGAATTGATTTAATTTTTAAATTTAATGTTAAATTAATTTATGCTGTCTTTGAAAACATTTGCTTACTTGTTTATGACTAAACAGTCTTCATGTGTATTCTTAGTCAAACAATACTTGCCACAATACTCACAAGTGAAGTGCACAAAAATTTAAATAACTGATATTTAGATATCCATAAACAATGTCTGTATTTCTCATACCATTGTAATCCTTTCTCTATTTTAGTTATGGGGTAAATTTACTTTCAGCTGCTCCATTTACTTGCTGTGTGATTATAATTAATAATAATTAAACAGATGGTATACACGAAGTTATCATTTTTAATAAAAATCCTCTAGACACAAAACCCCACATCAAAGTAAATCAACTTAAAAACTCAAAAAGAATTACCCTAACATTTCTCTTGATGATCTCTCTGTTCATTAACATTTTTCCATCAGACAATTCAATTCCTGCAAGAGGAATAAGGACTTCTCCAATGGTGTCATCTCTTGAAAACCTGTCAAAGCTCAGAATGGTGAAGTGCAAGGCCAACTCTTGAATCTGGGTGTAGGGGATTCCATAGAATGTGAACGTCTCATCAAATGCTGGGTCCAAGGTCTTTCTCAGCACTCTGGTTTTCACTTTATGCTTCTTCTCTGGGAGGATTGTCATTTTGATGTATGGGTCAGAGGTCATAGATTGTTCATCCATGGCTGGCAGACCACGGGCCTCCTTGATGTTCACCACAAATGCTTTCTTCTCAAAGTTGTACTCTAAGGAGAAAAAGAGGGTACCCAGCTTCTCTTGTTTCTCTTCTGAAGTAAGGGAAGTGCTAGACTTTAAGCTAGCAGGAGAAACTGCTTCTTTTTCTCCTTCTGGAAAGAGCTTTGAGATCCCGTTCTCCAACTCAGAAGTGGTGCCAGCTTTGGGGTTTGTTTTGGGAAAATTGCCATTGAGATCTCTCTTCTCCAGATCAAGATGCAATGAATTCTTTGGCACAGTCGGCTTATTCTTTACTTCATGTTTGTCATCTCCTCCAAACTTCTTCTTGCTATTTAGGTTTTCCGGATAAATATCAACTCCTTTTAGCACATGCACGAACTTGTAGGGAGGAGTCTTGTTAGATTTGGATGATTTTCTCTGACAGCAAATCCATGCAAAGAGAGAGACTGTGAAGACGAGGCCGAATGCACTGAAGATCCCCACCACGGCAGGGATTTCATCTGAAAAATCAAATGACCAGTAACATACATTAAAGAAGAAGATTGGAGATATGAGCCTATTGGAAAAGTATAACAGAGCTGGCAATTACTGTAGGGTGGACAGATTAAATTACTTCCCAACAGGTCTGGGCATAAGTTATGTGCATATTTCACATTTATTTCAGGTGTGCATATAAACAAGACAAAATACACTGTGGTAGAAACTCCTCCGGTTCAGTAGTTTTTCACAAACAAAATGAAGAAAGGAAACTGGGTCTCCATTTGACGTAGTGGCATGCTTAGTAATCTTGATTTATCTTTGTTTTCTCATGTAGTATGAGTGACCTAAAACATGATAGGATGGACTAATTTCATTTATACTTTGATGCTTTGCAAAGTACCATTTCACACTTATGGCGAAACACTGAGTGCATACTCTTCAAACACTGAGAAATTTTGCAGTATTACACTATTTTGTTTACTCAAGTTTTAAGTAGAAAATATATAAGGACTCATTAGCTCACACAATTTTTTAAAAGGGTGTGCTATTACCTGTCACTGTTACAAACTGATTAAAAATTTCCATCCCTATTATGGAACAGTTATAAAAGAAATGCACATCTAGTTGGGGAGAAAAAGAACAAAAATCAAATCAAATAAGATACTGATATTAAATAAATTTAATATTATACTTTGTGTATAAACATAATATTTCTCAAACATTGTGTTATGCAAAATATAATTTAATTTAAATAGAATAAAAGCAGAACAATGTTTATAAATAAATCATAATTCCTTAACATATAGTAAGAAGAATGAGTATAGATAATTTAGAGTTCAATTTATCAATAACTGATTTTTCCCTAGCATAGTTCCACATGGCAGGTGGTAATCAAATTGAAATTGGCATTATTTCCTTGAGTGAGGACACATTAAATCACTGACATTAAGTGATATAGATTGTACATTAAGTTTATCATATTTCAAGTGTAAGCAGATTTCTCAAGCAAATGATTAACATTGTATAAGTAAAAGAAATATTACTTCATCTGGATGAAGTACATCAGTTGAGTAATATTTTACATAACGTAAATGCAACTAATGTAATATTACCTACATTTCATTCTATTTCAATTCATTTTATTAAATAGTGAATAATAATGTCAAAACTCAGAATCAGGAAAGGGTTAACAATTGTTCAACTTCAAGAAGACCAATCTTTTTTACTCCCACTTCCCTACCCCCCCCCAAAGACTTTGCCTATCTACTTTATAATCCCAAAAGCTGAACACAAAGAATACAAAATTAAATAATAATAAATAAATACATAAATGAGATCAAAAGCAAAAATAATTACAGTAAAAATTCTGTAGTTTAATATTAGCAAATAATTGAAATATCTAAAGATAAAATAAACCAGGAATTCTCCTAGTAGAGAAACATATAAATTAGTGCTACAGAAAAAAATGAAATAAGAACTAAGTATAATCAGTTAACCAGTATTGGTTTTTCAGTTTTACTTTCAATTTAAGTCTTTGTGGGAAAATACATATGCCCTCACTTCTGGACTCTGATAATGTACAGTCAGCAAGCACAAGCTGTCATGGACAGAGGCACTTTTGCAGAAAATGTAAGGAGAACAATAAATGCAATTGAAAACTATTCTCATCTAAGTAGGATGATAGCCTATGCTAGACTGTATTTTCCTTAGCACAGCCTCTGGATATGTCTAAGTATCTAAATTATTCCAATTTCAAATTAAGAATTGGAATAGAAATATGAAGAAAATCAGCCCAATCACCTAAATGAAAGGCTGTGAAAATAACACACTTATGAATAATATAACATCAAATGAAGAAGCATTCAAGATATCATGGACTGAACTATTACTCCTGTATTCTTTATCAATAAGGGCTTAAGCTTTTGAGAGCAAAGATTATAGTCATTGTATTTATTTAATAACATTCACTTTAATATTAATTATTACTCATTTGTATGTATAACTTTTAAAAATAACCTGCCTTAAAAAGATATTTGTGATATCTGGCCTTTGACACATAATTACACCTAAAATATTACTTATTTATTCTACAAAATATATCTAATTTTAGTCATTGAAATATAGGAAGAGAACTCTGGAGTCGAACATTAAGTATAAGAAAAGGAAAACTAAACTGGGAAACAGAAGCCCTAGTTCAAGTTTACAGCAGCTTTTAGGTAACTGTGAATCCTGCAATACTTCCTTCATCTCCCTGGCTTGCGTTCTCTCAACAGAAATGAAATACACTGCACAGTCTGTAATAAAGTAAATATCTCAAACCCTCAATATAGAAGTGGTTTCATGCCAGACAAAACTCTTATGTAACCACAGACATATTTAGCTCCTCCTAATAAAATACAGATTTCCTACAAATAAGAGTAACCTACAAATTTCATGAAACCAGCATGCGAACAGATGCTTTTTCCTTAACTCACCGCATGCTGCAATTTACAGAGCTACCTGCAAGTATGGGAACTTCTGTAAAAATCGCCCTAACAGAAGGCAATTTAAAGAGAAAGATATCAAAAAAGGGAAAGAACACAGAACTAAGCCATGATAAACTGTTTACTGTTCTCACTTTTCTTTCAGATTAACTACCTTAAGTCTATACCCAACATCTAATAGGGGCAAAAACACAATTCCCCTTAGAATAATCAAGGAACAACCACAGCCATAAGTTGAGTAACTTGCTTACCAAAATCTTCCCGGCTGGTAGAGATCGGAGCCATTTTTTTTTTTTTTTTTTTAAATTTGCTGCGTGCTCTGTCCGAGGTGCTGAAAGGAAAACTCCCAGGCTTGTTTCACTTGCCTGGATCTGAAGAGCCGGCTTTCCCGAGTGCTGAAAACAACAGCGCAGAGCCCAGGGGACCTGCGCCGGGAACAGGGAGGAGGCAGAGAGGGAGGTCCACTCGCCCTCGCACAGTGATTTGCCACTGCTGTTCCTGTTTTGGCTCTTCTGAAAAGCTCGTCTCTGAGACTCCAGACGTGGTTGAAACCCGAATTGACGCAATCCTGACGCTACAAGGCTGAAATCAGCATTCCCCCCACCAACCCGTTAAGCCTCTCCTTCTCGCCCTCCTTGCTTCCTCCCTCCTCTCTTGAGGATTCAGCACACACTCATCAATTATTTTAACTGTTGGACTACTAGATATTAGCTTGGCTATCCTTTGGGGCTAAGAAACACATGGAGATGCACCCTGAAATTGAACGTACTCAGTTACTAGTACAAAAATCTCCTGATGACCTGGATGAGTAAAAATGCATGAATAATATGATTTACAGAGGCAATCTTAAAAAGAATAACAAGAAGAAATTTCTGCATCAAATAACCCATTGTAAAATGCAAAAATGTATTTTCTTGTTTTCTAAATTATTCTTTGACATATTTTATGTATATTATGCTCATAATAGTTATGGAAAATCCACTTCAAATTGTCTATTTGAAATAAGATAACCATTTCCTATCATAATTCTTTACATTCTAATGAAGCATTTTGTTGATGCCATTGCTCATAGTGGTCTCTACTCTTTGATATCTGACATTTGACCAGCTAAAGTACTTTGGAACAGATGGGCAGAATCTCTTCTGTGTTCAGAGTAATGAGGCTGGTTCTGGAATGATACATATTATTCAAGGACCTGACTTCTAAAAGGTCTGGGAAAAACAATTACAAGAATCAGGCCACAATCTAAAATAGCTTTGTTTATTATTGGCTGCTGTAAAGGAAATATTGTTTTTCTGATTGATATTCTCTGGAGTGATGACCAAAGAGTATGCCTCTAAAAATATTTAGAAATTTATGAAGAAGAGAATTCAGGCTGTGACTCCAGCTGTCATTTATTGCTCCACAAAGAACTCCATTGCTCTAACTTAATGAGGAAATGACATTCAGAGTGTGTTAGGGTAAGGGAGGAGGGGATGCCGGGGAAGTCTCAGAAAGCTACTGTACAAGTGTTCCTTCACATTGGCAAGCAGCCACCCCAGGCGTCAGCGCTGTGTCTGGGGAGAAATTGGCTTCAGTCCTTTGCATCATGGAAAATTTTATAAACCAAAGTCTCTTCTCCCCCTTGTTGCCTGCTCCCACACACTTGGCATTTTAGCATTCTTGTAGCAGATTTTTTTATACCTTACATCTTCGTGCTATGAAAACATACAAACTAATTTGCTGCACTTACTTTTTCCCATTGGCAGAGCTTATGATAGTGTCTTTATCATTCTGCCTCATTCAGATCACCTGCTCACTCTGTTACGCATGGACCTGGTAGGATTTGTCCCAAGAACTAAGCATGTGTTAGATGAAAGACAGGGCTTCATTGATCTGTGTTGCATATTTGAGGAAGACCAAATATATGATGTGTGCTCTGTGAATGTGTGTATGTTTTCTAGTTGCTATTGCTGACATATGGTGAAACTTATTTGTTATAAACAGAAATGTATTACAGATATGTTATATATACATTAGTATCTCATTAATTATACCTTCAGATGGCAAAATGCTATCTCAAACCTGTCCTGCATATTTAGATTATATTCTTTAGATTATATTACCAAAATTTTAAACTATTCTCATCTGTCTCATTTTTGAGGACACAGTGTGGTAAGATAACCTCTCACCCAGAGCTAATACTACTATACTAACTATTTCATTGCTTGCTTTATAAATAAACAAATAAATGTTATTAATTAAAATATTTGCATTTTCCTTCCCTTTCTTTAGTCATTTTCCAATTATTTAGACAAGCATCTAGCATCCCCTGATGAGCAGTGGGCTCCATGCACAGAGAATCCTATAAGTTTCCTATGATTGAGAATCTTGCCCTACCACCATATTGCATTATTCTGTTTTTGATCCTGTAAACTAGAAATCAACTCGCTGACGCATCCATCTGACTCTTGAAGCAAAAGACTTAGGAGGAGGGATTGTTGCTAGGCAACCATCTTTTGGCCACCCAAACCCCACAGCCTCAAACAAGTTTCTGGCCTGTGAAACACAGACTTTTCTGAATAGGGGGTAGTGTCTTCTTTGTACTGTTTCTTTTACTGCTAAAGTAGTGCAGCTTTTTAATCTTACTTTTTCTCAGATTGCAAATGACTACAGATAGAAAGATAGATAGACAGTGAGATTTAGAAACAATAAACAGAATTCTTGAAATCAGTTTAGTGCTATGAAACCTAGTTAAAGTTTAAAAAATATTGATATCCCATATGATTGTTTATTCTACTTTTTCCATTCAGTTTATTTGCTTTACCTTAGTAAATAATTTGATTTATAAAACATATTTGAATATATTAGCATATATTCATTTATGAATTATATGATTTACTCTACATTTTCCACATTTGTTTCTTAAAACATGTTATTAACAAGTATATTCAGAACTTTCTGCTCAGCAAAAGGATATCTCAAAAGAGTTTGAAAATGTTAAAATGTACTTCAGTAATCTTTACTAGATTAGTGATATAATATAAATTTGTTAGTATGCAAGTGGAATAGACTGAAATATCTGATGAGGAAAACAGATAATTGCTGTAATGCTCCTTTCATTCTACTAGGAATGCTGACTCTAATGTTAAAGAAACAGATTTGAATTTAAACATGATCACATTTACATTCTGTAAGACACACTTTTTTCATCTATGTCACAGAAATCCCTTTACTATCCACTCGTTCTGTATGTGTTTTTCTTCATACATTTACTGCGCACTTTAGTATCTTGTGAATGATAGGATGCCTGTTAGTTCAAATTTTAAAAAGAAAATAGCTTATAATCTTCTTTTCTGTCTCTTTTCTTTCAATACATACTTATTAAATATGTACTTTTCCTAGATTCTTGCCAAATGAGGGAATGTATACATTTACATTAGTCAAGACAATTGAAATTATCCTTATCCTTGAAGAATGCACTGACCACAGTTAAAAGTCATACCCTTTCCTATAGAACTAGAGAAAAATTTTATTAGATCATAATTGACATCTAAATGTTTCTATAGACCTGGAGAAAACTTATTGGACCGCAATTTGCCTTATATGTCTTTGGCCTCATATTTTCTAGAAGTCTTGATCAACAGTAATTCCCTGTCACCATGCCTGTATCACTCTGTTCATGCTGACCCTTTCTATATTACTAGAGATTCATTATTGGTTTGACTCACAGATTGGTTTTTCCATCCTTTTCATCTATGACAGCCTTTCTGTCCTTTGAGAATCAGTTTAACATACTATAAAGTTTTTGATTTACTTGTGGATTTTTCTAACTTCAGTTGTTAGCAACATTATGTCCACTGATATCCTTTAAGTCAGGTTGGAAAGTCCTTGATATTTATACTCAGCATTCCAATTAAAAATGCTTCATTAGTGCTAAACACCAGTGTTTCATATTACTGTGGCTTTTTTTAACAGTATGTCCTTTAAATCAACCTGCCCAGTTCTTAGATATTGGTATCTCAATAAGAAATTAACCCACAAGCATACTACAAGTATTTCTTCTTTCAGTTTACCTTGAAAGGGTTTATTGCTACTTCCTCATGATACATTACTCTCTCTTTCTCAGGAAAAAGTCCAAAACAGCAGGTTAAAAAAGTCTGATTATCTAAGTATAAAAGATTTATAAACTCCACGGTGATAGGTCACATATTCATTTAAAACAGTTTAAATGCAGCCTTCTTTGACAAAAAATAGTTAAATAAAGATGAAAAAAATTCATACATTTATTAAACAAAATCTAAAAAAGTGTATTAAAAAGAAATAAATTAAGCTGAGACATTAAAATAAAATATCAAAAGGAAGAAAACATGTGATTTCACTTTCAAAAGTATCTGGACCATGAAAGAGCCTACAGATTTAAGGTTTGCATTACAAATAACTTATAATCAAAACTATAAACCAAAACTATAGTAAATTCTGAAGTTGAAAACATATTTGAACTCAATCAATATGATATTACTTCTTCTATCCACCTACAGACAATCTTACTTCCAGGTTTGAATCATTACCTGGAATAGGTTCACTATATTGGCAAGAATGTTTTTTAAACCAAGAAACTTTCAAACTGTGTAAAGTCTTAGAGATCAGAGAAAATTGATTACATATTTCACAGAAGATGATTAAGGAATTTTTAAAAAAGAGAAAAGATACTACTACGCTATCAATTTCTATGATCCAATTTTTTTACTTTCCACCTGTAAGTGAGAAGACATGGAGCTTGTCATCCTGTATCCAGTTTTCTTCACTTAATATAAAGACCTCAAGTTCCTTCTAAGTTGTTGTAAATAATAGGATTGTGTCCTTCATAACAGTTGAATTTTTTCATTGTTTACATAGGTCATTTTTTCTTAGCTATATTTAGAGATAGCAAAATATTTATGCAAAATGAACACAAAAAAATCACTCCATAATTTTCAACAATAAAAATACAGACATTTGCAGATAATAGATTCACTGGAGACATACTAGCAAGAATAATTATAAATTTCATATAAAATCTACAATTAAAGGGTTTATTTGATTGCATATGTGAATTGAAGAGGCATCTGAAGCTTCACAACCTGCGTTAGTTATTTTCTTATCACTGGAACGTAATTACCTACACCCAAAACTTAAAGAAGGACAAGTTTATTTTGGCTCACATTTTCAACCTACAATTCACTGGATCCAATGCAGAACAGCATGGCAAGGAGACATAGTGGAGGAAAATCGGCTCATGTTATAGTGGCCAGAAATCAGAGAGTGAAGGAGGGACAAGGGAAGCAGTCATAAACCATCCAGATCACAACCAGACCCAACCTCCTAATAACACATTAGCTGTACCACCCTGCAGTCCAGTCATCTTCAGCAAGCCCTGCCTCTGAGCACAAGATGATCTGGGGGGTACTGTAGATCCAAAACACAATGAAGTCTAAGACATAAGAGAAAGAACAGAGGTGAGTTTACATTTTGCAGGCCACTTTTCCTGCATGGAATTTTCAGATTTTTAAAAATAGAAAGAACATTGTGAAAGCAGACAAGAAAGCAAGGGTAAGAAGTGCAAAACAATCAGATTTCCT